GCGCTCACTCTCTCTCTCTCTCTGTCTCTCTCTCGTTCACTCTCACTCACTGTCGTTCTCTATATATGCATGTATGTGCTGTTCTGTTGCGCTCGCTCTCTCAGCGGATCTCAATGTGTTTATTATGACGTTTGTTGCGGCACTACGGCGTCTGTCGTATGTCCACTGTCCTCTGGGCAGGTAGTTAATGCAGTTTGTTTGTTTGGCCACGTTTATTAGATTGCTAGAGTTATAAACTACGCTCCCAATGCACTGATTATTATTGAACTACGTTTGTGTGCGTGCCAGATATGAACTTTCGGCTGTCGGCTTGTCGGCTTGTCGGCTGAATTTCGTCGATTTGTCGTTAAGGTGAAGCGCACACAGGACATGCACAACTTGACTGAGCGAAACTGCACAAATAACTGAATTGAAATTTCGTCGCACCGAGCGCACTGTGTAAGGGCAAATCGTCGAGCAGAGCGCATCGCATCTGTGTGGGCGACAGCAGGTGGGAGGTGGGGAGGGGGCTGGCTAGGTCTCTGCTTTTAGGGGCTCTACGGCAACAATTTAGCCTATAGCTTATTTTCGGCAGCAACAGCAGCAGCAATTTCTTACAGCAGCAAATGCACTCGAGTGCATTTTAATTGATTTTTTTTTCGCATGCACTTTCGCTAGCGAGTGCGAGCGAGAGCGCAAGCGTAATCTCTGCGTGTGGCTTGCCTTGCTCGTTTGTTGCACGCGGCGTATGCGTAACATTTACAGTTGCACTTCGCACGCACCTTACTTTGAGTGAGTTTTCCTCTTGGCTTGAGTGAGTTTTCCCCATTCAGCTGCGATCTCTTAAGCAGCGCCCGTTCTGGGTCAATTAATGCTGGCCGTTTCATATTTTTCAAGTTTTAATTACCCTTTTTATTTTCAATTTCAACAACAGAGAAGAACAGAGCAGAAGAAGCAGCGAATCAACTAAGTGTGGCAACAAATTTTTAATTAATTACATGCAAAAATCCAAACCAAAAATGAGTTGGCCACGCTTGAGTGGCGAGCTGGTCAAACAATTAGCATTTTATGCTAGTTAAAAAACGTATAATGAAGTTTCTGAAGGATGCGGCTGGCTTCATACTCCTCCTCTCCCACTCCCTCTCACTCTCTCTCTCTCATGAAAAAAGTTTTTAATATGTAAAGTGTTTTCTACCAAGGGGTATGCGTTTGCTCGAAAGGCTCTAGCCCAGCCGAACAAGTTGGAGTGAGTAAACAGCCATTTAAACTCAAATTTCCATTCAAATAGATGGAAATCTGTGTCAGCTTTTTGGCAGTTTCCTGTAGACTGTTTTCGAGTCACTCCAAACATAAAGCAAAATTGTCAAGCAGCACAAGTGTCTGCCACAAGTATTCACATTTAAAGCATTGACATTTCCATTATTTAACTTTTTAATTTATCGTCTGGCTACAGACATCTGGAGTTTCTATAGTGGCAACCATTCTAGTTGTCTGACTTTTACTGAAGAAGTGTCTCTGTGGTAACCCGCAAGCATTTATTAATTGGACAATATTGTGATAGAATACTACTAACTACCTCCCTCTCTTTAAGCACGCCAAAACATTGGCTTTTTCTCAGATTCTTATTATCTCTTTCAGACACTTCCTATCAGACCCTTTGGATCTGTTTTGGTCTGCTTCTGTATCACTTAATTTCTATTTTGCGCATTATAACTTGATCTGCTCCTTTTCGGATCTCTTTCCTCGTTTCCTCTATGGTGTTCTAACTTCTAACTTTTCCGCCCTCTCTCTCTCTCTCTCTCTCTCTCTCTCTGCCTTTTAAAGTATTTTTCTCTCTCCCTCTATCTTGCTCTCTCTCTCTCTCTTTCTTTCTCTCAATTTGAACCGACTTTATTTTATAATTTTCTCTCTGTCTGACTACTTATTTTCTCTCTAGTTCTCTCTCTTTCTTGACTCTCTATCTTGGCCTCTCCCCCATTCTCTCTCACATTCCTACCTTTCTGTATATTGATCTCCCCATTTCTCTCTTTTGCTTTCTTTGACTTTATCTGTCTATATTTTCTCTCCCTCTCTCTCTCTTTCCCTCGTATTCAAATGTTCTCTCTCTCTATCGCTTGCCAAATTAAAAGAGAAGCAAATGAAAGTCCTGTGTCTATCTAACTTTCCTCCGTTTTAAAATATTTAATAATGACAGATTTAGGTGAAGCTACAAATCAACGATCTACATTGCTTCTATATATGCTTTAATTATACATATTTAATAAATTTGAATTTCTCTTTATATTTCTGTCACATTTTCCATTAAATTTGCTTAGAGCCAATAAAGAGGGATTTGACAAACATTAAAACTAAACACCAAAAGAACCTGGCTATAACTAAAATGCAGTAAATAAAATATTAGACAATACAGGGTGCCTCGCCAGTGGAAACAACAACATTCGTGTTGAGACATGCGCAAAGCGACACAAACTCAAAGCAACTCAAAAGGCAACTCACTCAAAACTCACAACATGCAATAAAAAACACCTGAAGCCAGGCAATGCAATCGCAGACAGGCAGCCAGGCAGCCAGCAAAGGGGCGAAAGGGGGAAAATAGAAGAAGAAAAACAAACGTCAGCTGCACACAATACAACCCAAGGCACAAAATGGCATTGGACCAAATGCTAACGAACAGAAACAGCAACAGCAACAGCAACAAAAAATAGCTAAAGGTACAGGGCACAAAATTGGAGCTATGACATTTGCGGCCATTGTTGGCTAGTGTAACAACACACTCCTACGAGCTGCGTTTTAAAAATTTATTATTTTCCTAGCTGCCATTTGCTAATTACGAGCTTATACTGTTATTTTTAACCAGAATTCAAGGATTTAAATTGCGCTTAAAAATATAAATATTAGTGGGATTATACGAGGATTATAAATAGCGTTAGTCAGTGGGCCTATTTAAATACAGCGGAGATATTTTAATAAGCACATATTATGTATGACACAACTATAATACAATTTTTATAGGAAAATTTTGAGTTACAGTCGAACTACTATTTAGATGCGACATTTAAAAATCTGCGCTCATTAAACTAATAGTAGTACTAGTAGTAGTCAAAGTGGTATTATTTATTTTAAATTCTACTACTATTACTAGAGCAGTAGAATTTAAAACAAATTCAGTAGTAGAGTTTACGTTTATGGTAGTAGAATTTTACTACTATAGTAGTAGAATTTAAAAGAAATATTAAGTTAAATAACAAATTATTTGATAATTTATTCTTTTTTTA